CTCTCTCTCTCTCTCTCTCTCTCTCTCTCTCTCTCTCTCTCTCTCTCTCTCTCTCTCTCTCTCTCTCAGATTCCCTTTTTTCTCTCTCTTTGTCCCTTCGCCGCTGCGCGCACAACCTCCCACAGGACCACCGCCGCGTATTCCTGACGATACTCCCGCCGATGACGACTCGCGGACTACACAAACCTCACGCTGTCTTCCGGACTCCGTCGTCGTTGCGCCGGACGACGGGGGATCCGTGGGATGTTCAGGGGGAGATGAGCTTCCAGAGATGAATCTCGGCGTCGCGTCTCGCCGCACGGCATGATTGCGGTACGAGATTGACACCCTAGTCGAACGATGATTTTAACCATACACGGTCTTGAGTCTTGAGTTGCTATGTGCAGACAGGTGCGTCTTGCGGAATGCAGATTCAAGCACGATGCACGATGGCGTTACGTAACAAATTATCTTTCGTTTTCGAATATTCAACAACAACAATAACATTCGTGAAAAATATTTTTCTCGTATGTGAAATCTCACGATCTCTTTATTATGTGATAATTTTATCTTGTATTTCTAAAGCATTATAAACACACACTTTAAACACTGTTAGTATTTCACTTTTAGTTTCACTATTTAAATTTTTTTAATTATTCACAAATTACATATTCCATCACTTGATGACGCGTAATGATCACCAAATGGCCAATCAATAAAACTTTCATCTGATGTTAACTGCCGCAATAACATTTGCGACAAAAAAAATTATATCTTCTTTCCTTTCGATCTCTTTGTCAACGCAATTTGTTTATGCAACGTTTGCAGATATGAAATAAAAGTTATTAATTAATTTTGCTTATATGTAGATCTATTTGTCAAAAGTGGAAGATATTTTTGATTGTTCTTCCGAACGATATCTTGTCTGTCGGACGGCTTTTTGCTCTTCTCGGTTGATTTCTTCCTGCTTCCGTCATTCAACGACCACCCCGCGCGAGACTGCGAAACGACACTGGGAAGAAAGGGAAAACAAAGACGGCAGAAAGGCCCCTTGTGTAGTTGCGTTTAGCACCGAGGAATACGGGGGTTGCGCGATGCTTGGGGGTTCTCGGAGAGTGCGGGCGAAGGAACAGAGTCAAAACGAAGACAAATGCCGCCGGTCAGAGTGCGAGAAAGAGAGGAACACGTTGTAACGCACAAGTAGTCATCCCTAGATTTAGCGGACCAAATAAAGAAATAAAGCACAAGTTATTGTAAAACGTATCCCCTACGTATCACGTAAATTTTTGTATGTAACACAGTTTCGACTTGATATGTCGAAGAATATGAACGGAATGCAAATATTGTCTTTTCGAAAATTTTAATAAATAAATTTTAATTTTCGTAACAGAGATCATACTCAATCATATTTAATCAATTTATCATCAATTCCTTATTCTTATATTACGAAAGCAATTTCGTCATATAAAAGGTGGCTGATCGAGTTTGAGGGACGGATTGTAGATTATCAAATAAAATGGAACGCGACGCGGGAATTGTAACACGTCACTCTTTCGAGAGACAACACGAGACTATCGATCATGACGTATCTGTACCAAGCCGTACGAGAGTACCCCTAAACGAGACGAGCCCCCTATATAATCCTACGCCCCTACGAGGAACAATGCGACGCTTCCACGTCCCTAAATGCAGACCTTCCGAGATGCATTTCGTCATGCGTAGGTTCTTTCACCGTGCAATGATGTCCCCTGCTTTCAATTACATTTGCCAGTATCCTAGACCCTGGCATTTGTTTCATTATTTCGTGAACGATAGCTAAAAGCAAAAGATTTTTTTATTCAAATGTAAATATAATTTTAAATCAAGTATAAAAATAAATTTTATTTAGATTATTTCGACTATATGCAAAAAAAAGTTGTAAAGAAAATATGAAGAAAAGTACTGTATTTATTATACTAATTATCGATAGTAATATTTTTAAGTACAAAATTAAAAGTGAATTGCAGTTGTGATTATTGCACTTTTAAATATGTATTATGTATTGTCAAATAAAAGGAGATGTTAGAGAGGAGAAATAGCTTTACCTCTCGAGGATATAAAAAAAATGTTAGAAAATTGCGTGACATTATGTTTAAATTTTTGTCTCGTAGGGTAGAGAAAATGAAATAGGGTGAGAATGTAGTGAGAGAGAATGTGATTGGTAGACCAAGGAAACACTAAGGAAACGATTTAATCGTTGATGCATAAAAAGTGTTAAAAGATCGATAAACATGTGATATTAGATACTGCAAATTTCACATATAATCTGAAAATTGTAATATACATAGCGAAAAAAAAAAATTATTCAGGCATGCCGCAATATTAAATTGCTTTTAAAAAACACGGCTTTTTGCTGTTTATTCAATAAAAGAAAGGATTATTGAAAAATATTAGATTATTTTATAGCTTTTATATCTTTGATGATGATAAAATTGTTATGAACTGTTATGTCTTTATATTAAAAAAAATATACATGGTATTATATCTATTTTATTTTATATGCGCCTAAAATCTAATAGTCTCCCAATATCTGTTGACGAGCATTGTAATCATACGATGTGAACAGCAACAAAATAAAAACTCAATAACTTCACTACCACGCGCAGCCAAAACGATTGGTTTCTGTTTGCGTTTCGGCTATTTTTTTTCGCCGATGTCCTTTCGACGGTAACGATATTCTATAACCCGCATACGACACGGTTCACATAATCGGTGAATCGATGAATGCACAACGATTATCGACGCACTTTTCCGTTCAAATTAATTGGACCAATTATCGATGCCGAACAATTATCTGCTGGCGACCAATTAGATCGGCAGGATTTGTCGATGACGTGTTACCTAGCAAGGAATAATTGGAGCTTATATATTGTAAAAAAAAAAAAAAAAGAGAATCAGTGAAAAAGTTACGTTAATAGATAATCGGTTTAACCAAAATTCGCGAGATGATTTCGACGGGCGATTGTTAAGTTTAAAAAAAAAAAAATGTTTTGCAGAACAATTTAAGTGTCATATTTTAATAATAATTTAAACTTATATTCGATAACGTATTTTTCAAAACCACTATTATCTTTATTTTTAGTTTCCAATGTTCCAACGATGTGATTTGAAAATTATTAAAAATTATAAAATATATAAATTGCAACGGAATGATATCGTTGGCGTGAAAGATATATCAAGTACTAAAATACTTTTCTCACATACACAAAATTTCTTCTTCCTTTCTGGATAAATTATCACCTGCCCACTGCACACTGATACTTAATCAAGGTCACTGATTGATTCGTTCGCAAGAAACTGCAAACTTCTATGAGTCTTTGATCAGTTCACTCCCGGTTTTCCGCTCGTATCACGCAATATTCACTCATTTACCGGCCTGAAAGAACCGTAGTCACGATCTCGCTCGCTGGCGCGCAAAACTTTGATTTTCGCGGGCGCGAAAAAAAAGGTAGATCGACGAGAGGGCGATAAAGCGGCGATAGCGTGGCGACGTAACGCGGCGGAGGGGGAGGAGGGGGGGAGGGGGGGTACGGATAGCGCG